GTGGGAGCAGCCGGCCCGGTACCCGCGGGTATTCCGGTCTCTCCCCTCCCCCGCGCCTCCCGCGGCACCTCTGGCCGCGTCCCTACTGCTTGCGGTAGTTGCTGTTACCAAGCGCCGACGCGCGAGCGTTGCTGGCTCGCTCCTTTCCTCGCAAGCGCGAGGCACCCAGAGCGCTGTCCAGAGCTGTGGCCCTCCGCTGCCCGCGCGTCCATAACCTTGAACCGTGGTCGGCCTTGGGTCTTTTGGGGGTGGGGGTGAGGGTGGAGGTGGAGACGCCGAGGAGCCCGTGCCGGTACGACTTCGTGTCGTTTTGATTATAGCGTTCGAGTACATTCTTGAAAACCAGAGTTCGTGTGTTGGAGTTCAGGTTGCACGGGACGGAGTGGAGAGAGAGAGCGCGCAGATCCAGTTGAACTCCAGGGCATTTAGGTTCAAGGAAGAATTTTTAAAAGCCTCAACGACCCTGCCAACTCCTAACCCTTTTAGCCAGATTTTGGATGAAACAGAAATAAAATCACGTGTCACTTATGCCTGCCTGAGGAAATAACCTCAAAAAATAGTTTCAAGCAGAAGATAGTCCCATTATGCTTTAGATCTGCTTTATTATTATAAAATGGCGGTTGGAAATTAGCAAAAATGTTACTTTTGCGAGAAATACAGTTGCTTTAGTGATCAAATTAATGCTTAAATTCCAAGATAAATATTTACTGTTTACGGCTAATGAGTTCATTGTCAGAGTGAAGTACTAACATAGATTCTGTTCTTTATTGTAATCAAGTATTTCAGAGAGTAGTGTTGGAAGATTGGAGACAAAAAGACTGTCTTCCACGTGGTCTAGTATCCTTTAATAGTCTCTCCTTTCCTTTACCCCATTCTGACATTTGGTCCAGTCTTTGTCTCATGGTTTTGACTGTATATATAAATGTGTGGCTCCTCATATTGTAGTTGAAGACACAGTATTCATGACAAAAATATGCTCTCCAGGGCACTGCAACCATAGCATGCAAATTGATGAGGAATTCATCTATTAGTTCACTTTAAACACAGACATCTCCTGTAGGATTGTAATTAGATTGTGTAACGGTAGCTTTTTTGGGTGCAGGGAGGCAATACATGCACTTGGTAAAAAGCCAGGTGAAAGTCAACCACATACTCATGACCCATTTTGCTTCTTGAGAAGCAAGAGTCTTACTTATTTTAAAACAAAGATTTCAGCACTGTTTACAATAGCCGAGATATGGACTCAATCTAGATGTCCAGACAGCAGATGAATGGATAAAGTGTGGTACATATACACAGAGGAATACTATTAAGCCAGAAAAAAAGAATGAAATCCTGTCATTAGTGACAACATGGATGTAACTGGAGGACCTTATGTAAGTGAAATGAACCAGGAACAAATTTCAAATTGCATTACCCTGGTCAATAATGTCCAACATGATCTAGCTCCTACCGGTGTCTCCAACAATGGTAGTCTCCCCTAACGTGCTTTTCTACTACAATGGAGTCTCTGAATCTCTGGATACTGCCAAGCTCTACCCCTACTGCCTGAAATACCCACTATCTACCCCTTCTCTCATTTACATAAGATATGTATGTATGTATGTATACATTTATTATGTAGATACATACCTCTTTTCTCTCTTTGCATGGCTATCTCTTTATCTATTATGTCTCAACTGAAATATAACCTCAGGGGGATTCTTAGTGCACCCTAAATAAAGAGGGTTCTAATAACATGTTCCCACCCCATACCTCTTCCAGCATCGTTGTGTTTTTTTGTTGTTTTTTGTTTTTGAGTTGGAGTCTCACTCGGTTGCCCAGACTGGAGTGCAGTGCCCACTCCCGGCCACCGCAGCCTCGCCTGCTCTGCTCCGGCGATCCTTCCACCTCAGCCTTCCAAGTAGCCGGAATTACAGGCATGCGCTACCACGCCCGGCTGATTTTTTGATTTGTTGTAGAGATGAGGTCTGGCTGCCCAGGCGGGTCTCGAACCCGCGGGCTCAGGCAATCCACTCACCTCAGCTTCCCAAAAGCACGGGATTACAGGCTCAGCCACCGAGTCCAGCTCCAGCATGGTTTTTGAATTTTCATCTACAGTATCATCATAAGGCTCATGTTTGTTCTGTTCAACATTATTTCCTCATTGCCTAGCCTACCATAGTCTAACACACAATAAGAACTCAGTAAGAGCGGGACTTGGTGGCTCAGCCTGTAATCCCGCGCTTTGGGAGGCTGAGGTGAGTGGATGCCTGAGCTTGCGGGTTCGGGACCTGCCTGGGCAACTTGGCGAGACCTCATCTCTACAATAAATCAAAAATTAGCCGGGCACGGTAGCGCGCGCCTGTAGTTCCAGCTACTTGGAAGGCTGAGGCGGAAGGATCGCCGGAGCCCAGCAGGTCGAGGCTGCGGTGGCCGGGAGCGGCCACTGCACTCCAGTCTGGGAGACAGAGTGAGACTCCAACTCAGAAAAAAAAAGAACTCAGTAAGTATGTGGACTAATAATTGTTATTAGTGTAAAATAGTATGTGGACTAATGAATGATTAGTATTGTAAAATAGCAGTGGCTCAGGCCTGTAATCCCAGCATTTTAGGAGACTGAGGCGAGAGGATTGCCTGAACCCAGGGGTTCGAGACTAGCCTGGGCAACTTGGCAAGACCTCATCTCTACAATAAATCCCAAAATTATCCAGGCATGGTGGCATGCGCCTGTAGTTCCAGCTACTTTGAAGGCTGAGGTGGAAGGATCACCTGAGCCCAGCAGGTTGAGGCTGTGGTGGCCATGAGCATGTCACTGCCCCCCAACCTGGGTGACAGAGTGAGACTCCAACTCAAAAAAAAAAAATTGTGCAATAATCTTATTAGGGAAAAATTAAAACTGTTTAGGTGAACAAGTATATATTAGAAGTACCTCAGACAGTAACATTTGACTTAACTAGACATTTCTACATATATGCATTGAAATGCTGACTGGAGCCGGGCTCGGTGGCTCAGCTTGTAATCCCATGCTTTGGGAGGCTGAGGTGAGTGGATTGCCTGAGCCCGCGGGTTCGAGACCCGCCTGGGCAACTTGGCAAGACCTCATCTATACAATAAATCAAAAT